TTTTAAAAAAAAAAAAAAAAAAAAAAAAAAAATATATATATATATATATAAAAGATCGATTTATGGCTTTCAACCGCGAAAAATAAATAAATAAAATAGATATTTTAAAGTGAGAGAAAATTGGGCGGGCGATTCCCAGAAGCCCTAGGGTTTTAGCTTTTACTCGTCACTGTTAACCGCGCAATCCTCTGCACTCTTCCCCACAGAACCACGCTAAATACTCCACCAGATAGCTTCTTCAATGGCAGCTGTGCGACCCATCGTGTAGGCGTAGCAGAAAGCTCTCAGTCTCTTCCGTTGAGCTCTTCCATGGCGTTTTCTTCTGGACTCCGCTTTTCTTCCCTGCTTCGCCATCAATTCGCTCCACCTCATGCATGGACTCGTTTCGGCAGAATCTATCATGGGCTGTCAGAGCTTCGGTTTCTATCTACTAGCACTTCCAAATCCTCCAGGTCCATCCGGTTGGTGAAATCTCGGCGCAAAGATGAGTCTGTGAAAGAGGAAGGAGTTGGAGGTCAGGATGGAAATGGTAGTGTAATTGTGAAGGATAGAGGTGGGAGTGATGGAAGGATTGTTCATGCATTGCTTCACAAGGAGGCTACTGATGCTTACATGGCTTATGCAATGTCCGTGTTGCTCGGGCGTGCCTTGCCCGATGTTCGCGATGGTTTGAAACCTGTCCACCGCCGGGTTTTGTGAGTCATTTTCCCTCGGACTTTGTAATTACTGTTTTTTCCATAGATTCTGATGAAAAATGTCGACATTGTAATTTACGCAGACCAACCTTTCTATCATAACTTTGACGGGTCTGTTTTGAAGTAAAATCTTTCGCGTTTCTCTCTTTCACCAATTTACCAGCAGTTTATTTGTCGCTTGTTCATTCGTTCAATATGCACGAAAAACTGTATTTGCTTGAGGTTATGTTGCAATGCTGGTATGTCAATCGGATGGTTCTTGAAGCTTTATACATAGACACTAGAACATCCGAGATGTCACTCGAGTTGTCGAATGGAGAGATTGGAGACTTCATAACCAAAATATCACCTCTCTCACTGGGTTAGGTATGTCGCCGGAGTTAGGTTCGTTGAGAATATACGGAGGAGAGGGAAATTTTCAAAGCATCAAACCAGTATTTCTTTTATTTTTTTGAAACAGGAATAGCGAAGCAGTATTCTTTTAGTTTTTTGTGCTAGGATTCGCAATACATTGTATTCATAGAAGAAACGTCCCATAAGCACTGTTTTCATCGATATTCCTCACTTGAGATATGATATCTCTCAAATCTACAACGGATAAGAAGTATTGCATTTAGGCAGACCATCCTGCAAACATACAACAGCTTGTACGCTCTCTAGTAAATATAGGAGCAAGAATAATTACTAGCTGTATTGACCTGCATTTAGTTGTAGTCACCTACTATATGAAATATTCTCTGTAGATCTTTTGCGTATAGTTTGAGTAAGAATATTCAATAGCTGTATTGACCTGCGGTAAAATTGTGGCTACAGGTTTGCCATGCATGAATTGGGCCTTTCATCAAGAAAACCATTTAAGAAATGTGCAAGAGTTGTTGGAGAGGTTAAATATACGTTTATTCTATGAAGAGATGAGTTCATTTCTCCCTTTAGTCACATGTTATTATCCCTATCTTCAGCTATGATTTTTGATTCTCTTAACAGGTTTTAGGTAAGTTTCATCCGCATGGAGATACTGCTGTGTATGATTCCCTTGTTAGAATGGCTCAGGTAACAGGAAACATTTAATCAATTTGATATTCATTAACTTAAAATGAATTTTCTTTAATATGAAATATGTAGTAACCAAGAATAGATACAACAGACGAGGGAGTGAGAAGGTATCCTAAAGCAATCATGAGTTATAAATAGTTACCTAATTGACAACAATAGTTTATTTATTTATTATTATTATATTTTTTCACAAAAAACAATTTCATTAATGTGACATCATCGAACAACAGTTTATTTTGTTAATATTATTATTTTTGTAAAAAGCAATTTCATGGATGTAACATCATTGAGGGTTTTGAGATTGGGAAAACTATTGTATCTCTTTCTCATCTCCAATTTGGACGATACTATCTTCTTTTATTCAGGAAAGGTGGAGTCCTTTCTCATCCTAAACTACATTTTAGCATTTTTTTTTTTGAGGCCATATCAAGGCTCAAAGTCAATAGGGGTAAATGTCATATTTTAGGCTTTGATTGTGACCCTTAGGTGAATAGTTGGGCACGCTTGTTGGTTTCCCTCATCCTACGATGGCTTCTCCCTTGGACATAACTTGGGGACTCTCTTTTTAGAACCTCATGGTGGACAAAGTGAGAAAGAGACTGGCCTTGTGAAAGATTTATTTTTTTCTTAAGGTGGTAAACTGACCCTTCTCATTCGCTTGATTTTGAGTGGGAGCCCTAACCACTTATTTTCCATCCTTATAGTTCCATGTTATGTGTGTAAACCTCTTAACAGACTTATGAGGGACTTCTTATGGGAAGGAGTTGACGAGGTTAAAGGCACACATCTTGGGAGTTGTGAGTTGGTGGAAAAGTTGGTAAATCTTGGGGTTAGAATTAGGGAATTTAAGGAATTGTAACAAAGTCTTGTTAACAAAATGGCTTTGGCCACTTCCCTTGAGTTTGTTACCTTTGGCATAGGATTATAGTATGCACGTATGGTTGTCATCCTTATGAGTGGACAATAGGTGGTGTCAAAGGTACTTCGTACATAAATCTTTGGAAAGAAATTGCAAATGAGCCCCCTTGTTTTTCTCACCTCGATCATTGCTTTGTGGGTACTTTAGGGAGGATTGGTGGGTGGGGGACAGACCCCTTTGCTTTATGTTTCCCTGATTATATCATGTGTCCTCCATGAAAAACTGGTTTGTGGCTAATGTCTTGGATCATTTTGACCGCTCTTTCTCTCGTTTGCTCCGTTTTGGTTACTCTTTGTCTAATAGGGAAATGTTGGAAATCACGACTTTCTTATCTTTGATTAGGGAGTTCTAACCTTATTGGAGGCTTTTGTCATAGCTCGTTTGTTGCTTGTTGGACCCTTCTCCCCTCAGTGAAGTCGTTCTTTCTTCTATTTGGAATGTGGGAGTTTCAAAGATGGTTAAATTCTTTGCTTTACAGGTTATCCATAGAAGAGTGAACACTTAAAAAAAAAACTTCCTTTTGGGCCATTTTGCTACATTCTTTGTTGGAGGGCAGAAGAAGACTTAGATCATATCCCTTGGAGCTGTTCGTTTGCTTGATGAATTTGGATTTTTTTTTTTTTTTGACGTGTTTGGATTCCAATTAGTCAAATATAAAGACTATAAAGAGATGATCGAGGAGTTCCTCCTCTATCCAACATATGAGGAGAAGGGGGTTTTTGTGGCATGCTGGGGTTTGTTCTCTTTTGTGGGGGTCTTTGGTTGAGAGGAACAAT